AACAAAAATCAAACAATTTTCTATCAAAACAGAATAAGSSAAAGTGTATAACAGATTATTYAAAAATCTCGTCACYTCCATTCCTCTGAAGRCTGTAAAATTTGTTAAAAAATGTGGTTTTTTAGTTTTGACTGATTTTTTTTGCTTTATATTCTACTTAAAAACGTTCTATTTTGTAGTTTCACTTAAAAATACTGACGATCTGTAGGACTTTTACGCGAAAAATTGCAAGATAATTTTATAGCTTTGTAAAAAATTTACAAGAACTTTTTTTRTGTCGGCAAAAAATCATTATTTTCTGATGATTTTCTCCTTTTTTGACAATAATAGGTTGTTTTCAGTCAGAAATTACAAAATTAATTTTGCTAGAAAATTTGCCCCATTCAACGGTTTACAGGATGCTTGAGAAAACCTTTTCAGCTTCGAATTTGGCACAAAAACTAAATAATTGTATTCCGTTTTTTACCGATAGTAATTAGAAATATCTTAAAAAAACGACCAGAGAGCAAAAGTTTATAGAAAATTATTGGGAAAATCGCGGCCCTCATCGCTTTGAAGATTTCTAAAGTTCCTTTGAAATTTCAGGTCATTCCAGTTTTAATAAAGCAATTCTTTCTACGTAAAAATCGTATTATTTTTTAATTTTTCATAAAATACTGGCAATCTTTGGGTATTTGCTGTGAAAAATTATGATAAATTGTATTGGAACACTCGCCTCTTTGACCGCTTTGCAAAAATGTTTGGAAAACTTTTTGCGGCTCCCAATTATGGACAAAACCCTAATAATTATTTCTAGGTCTTTTTCCAAAAATATTTCCCCTAACTGAAAAGCGAAAGTTTATAATCATTTCTCTGGAAAACTCTTGCAAACTGGAGTTTCTTCACTTTTAGGTCAATATTTCTAAACAACGCTGTCTCTAAACAGAAAAACCGCGTTTTTCCTAACGTGTTATTGTAAAATACTGACAAACTGAATCTTTTATGCAAACAAATGAAAAGATCGATTTTACAAGAAAACTCGTCGACTTTCTTTGGATTCAGTTCTGTTGCTGGGAAAATCCAGATTACTTTTTTTTAGTTGCTTGAACAAAGTGGTAAAACGTTACTCAGATAAAAATGTTAATAGCCCTTTTTTAGATGTGAAAATTCCGGTCTCGGGTCTCGTAAAACTTTAACAAATGAATCATAACTCATTAAACGAGTTATAACTCGTTAACTCAGAGAGCGGCAACAACTCAATACCGCAACTCAACACAGTGTTACCCACGCCTAGTACTGCTAAAGACCATCTTAGGTCAACATCAGCAGATTGTTTGAAGCAAATCGACCATTTTCGGAAAATGTAACCAATTTGAGTAGTTTCAGCTTCATTGCTTCTTCCTTCCTCCTTCTTCCGGTATATTCAATATTCTGTTGGAGTTTCTTCAGAGTTCCTTTTGAAGGGTGTAGGAAAAGAACTTGATGCATAGGAGAAATTGAGTAAACTTTTGCTTGAATATCAAACTCTTTCCCAATAATGATACGTGCATATGCAAATTCACTCACCCGTTAGTCGGATAGTAAGAAGAAATTAGAAAGTCGCCAATAATCCTTTTGATGCGCCAAGCTTTGAAGTTGAAGACGGAAATACTCAAAGAGCATCTTGTATAAAAGAGAGTTATGTTAAAATGTTATGTTATATAAAATAAAGGAAGCTTAATGTGAACGCACCGAAATATGAAGTTATCGGCACAATGGCAATATTGTTACTGAATCAGTAATGAAATGAAAAGCGATCGAACGTCCGATCCCACACTATCCCGAAAGGAGCCCAAGAATTATCTGGTGCAGAACGGACAGTTGAATAAGCCATAAGAGCCCGTAATACAAAGCGGTTCGCAGAAAACAAATGAGATTCCTTAAAGAAATACCAACCATTACGAGGGGTATTTTAGTCAATAATTAATGTTGCTTTGCATTCAATAACAAAGATGCTGGCTATATTTTGACTCTTGGTCGTTCAGGGGGCCCTCGCAATACGTTAAGCCGTCAAATAAAAGTCTTTAACTTACACCGTGTTAACATTTTTATTGGCCGCTTTAAAATTAACCGCAAACTCGTAATCTCGTATCAGGACCGGATTTAAATGTTAATTGAATGACGGGGTCATTCGATTTTATTGTCTTCTGGTGGGTTTTCGCGCAGTGGTTGATTTGATATACTTTTCGCAAAAGTTGATCCATTCATTGTCTACCGATCCCATTCCGTTCGGCTGTTTACATTCAAATGTGTTAAGTTTCAGTTCAGGCCAAGAGTTCGCATCAGCACAAATAACGTTTAGCTTATAAAAACGTTAACAAACATTACATAAAAAAGTTCTTTTAATTTAACGGTCAAATGTTTAAAATTGGAATAGTGGAATTTGGACTAAAAATTGTAAAAATGGTTGAAAATACTCACTTTTCTTCATAAATTCCAAGCGAAACCGACATTAATTTTGAACTACTGTAGAAGTGAAGCTGGGCAGTTTTCGGCGTTTTTAGGTCGTTGTCAATACTATACAAAAACCGCAATTTTCAAGAATGTTCGAATGCTTAAGTTCAAAATGCGTATTCTTTCAACAGTAACGTTTAGGTTTTTGAAAAATCATTTTGTGTCATATGCGAAAAATAATTCGTAAATGTTCTGTAGTCTGCAGAATTAGGAAAACCTGAATCACTTGAAAGGTTCAAAGATCAAAGTTTAAGTGTTTCTTGGGAAAAAGTTGTCGGTTCGTATATTTTTTAAAGTTGCATTTCTTTGTCAAGCCATTGAATATACTGGAGGCGGAGTATCGGGCCTAAAATTAAAATGTCCCAATGTGATAATCTCTAACTGAAAACACTTTTAAAGGAAAATTTTCACTATAATTTACGCTAATTGTTTTAATTCGGTAACTATTTCTTAGTTTTTTACTTCACATTTCTCGATAGTTGAGCCAAAGCCCGCATTTAAATTATACTTGACATTGATGAATTGAAAAGCATTGATGTTTCGCTTTCAAATTTGATTATCGATTAATCAGAAGTTCAACCCTGCAATCTTTTATTAATAATAACTACCTTTAAAACTCGTAAACACTCGTAGTTAGCGAAAATAAGGCTGAACCGCTTGCTCCTAAGTGCAAATATAAATCGCGTATCGTTAAAAATAATAACGATATTGCGGATCGCTTTGTTCGAATCAATATATAAGAGCTTTGGACCAGGAGTCATAATTCAGCACTGAGCTTTAAAAGAACGATCTGGACTTTACTTTATTGTGCGCATTATAATAATTTTTCTCATTTAAGTACCGGGTTTCATATATACATTCTTCCTAATTTAAAATAAAAAAGCAACTTTCTTAATTGGAGTCGTTCGTAATGTGTAACTGAACTTATATTGTCAACATTTCTTGCTGTAAATAGGTTTTATTGATAACTGTTCTTGTTTATCAATTATTTTTTATTTATGACCTAATCAAAACATGTAAATAGAAGTTTTAAAAATCAAAGTTGTAGTTTATTCAAAATATCTGGTTCCATAGTGTTAATTAGTTAGGGTGATTATACAGAGTGATTTTAAAGATTCAAGTCAGTCCTTTGCTTTTTCCGAAAACAACTCAAAATTCTAGGGAAAAGCGGGGACAGAAGTCGAATTTAAGGTGATTAAAAATGGAAACATTTTGATTAAGTATGGTCAAGTGCTTTTGAAGAATTTTTTTAGTGACTATGTTTCACTCGGTTCTGAGTCTGAAAAATAGTGACAATTTAGTCTAAATATAACTATAGAAATAGTAATTTAATGCAATATTAGGCAAACGAATGTATACGATTTTGTGCTGTTTATTTTCTAAATCAATTTTTGCCGGAAATCACATAATACTAATAATTACTTCGACCAGAAATTACGATTTTTCGTCCAAAAATTGTGTTTTGAGAAGAAAAAGCGAAGCAAAAATTTTATCAATTTAACACAATTTAAGTTATAAGACAAGCAAAGAAAAAGGAATAAACGTATTGTCCAAGATGTTTAAATACAGTCTTAGTTTAAATCCACCTGCGAGCAATATCGGGTAGCTCAGACAGAAAACAGTAAGATACGATGTGCCTCATGCCTTCTGACTACAAGCTACAACCCACAACTTACTTTAATATAACTATTAATTTAAATTTACAAAATTCTTAACTAATGCGTCAATCCCATTGGTTCCCACATTGAGACTGACATTGGTCTAAAGGGCGGAGCTAACTGAAAGTCCGTTAGGCTGTTCAAATTATTTACCACTTTTCGGATTCTTGAAGAAAAAATCCTTCAAAGTTCGCCGGCTAGAAATATGAGCAGCGCATATGGCACAGACTCAGTAGATATGTTAATTCCGCCATTATAATCGCGAAAATTATTAGAAATAAAATACATTTATGTACTGGCGTGCCTGCACAATGGCATTATAAGCAGCATGGCCCTATTGCCAAGTTTATGACTGGGTTTGATTTAGGACCACTAGACGTCACTCGGCCCATTCGAAACGTAGGCAGTGGATTTTATTAAAATATATAAGTGCAATCTCGAGTGGAATTCAAAAAGAAATTACCTATTCATGGTGGTTAGACTTATGTATGATTGTGTTATGGGGGGTTCCTGTCCGTACAAGCAGGGGCGCAGCCTCTACTGCGAAGAAACCGTTCAGATTTATCGTTTCCTTTCAAAAATCTACCGCGGTTAATTTCCTGTTAATTTTAAATGTAGAGATCACCTTTGACGTCATTTTTTCGTCATAGACAATTAGGTCTTCGGGTGGTTCAATGCTCATTAGGAAAATTATTAGTATTGTTGAGTACAACACAACTAAACAAATAGAACATTGCAAAACGAAAGCATAATTTCTATTTGGAAAAATTATAATTCTGAAATTTATTGTTGAAAAGTCTCAACGGCAACCCTGTATTTATTGGCAGATATGTCATTGTCAAATGGGTTACCTGACACTGTTCGCTAGATGCTCTTCCAAGTTTGAAATATGTAACAATCTCAAAAACTGAAATCGTCCGCATTGAGGAATGGACAGAAAAACCTCCTTTGTAGGTGAGAATCTTAAACATTGTTGCCTAATATATAATACCTAAGTTTCTAGGCAGAATTATTATTTTCAAACATTGTCTCGATTGCCGTTCTACCCCGTCAACCCCCACTCAAGACTAATTACGCCATGTTTCAATCATATTGTTGCTGCGAGCGCGGAAACCAAGCCGGCAACGCTGCCAGCTAGTTGACTACTGCAAGTGCGAGACAGCTCGACGGATTTGGAATAGGGTACGTTCGGTAATTGAACCAGAATATTCGAGTGTTGCCAAATGGCTATTAAAAGCAGCGCGACGCACCCTAGTTAGTTAGTGAGCTATCGAATCAAGGTTAAACATAAAAGCGATAATTGTTGTTCAATGCTGATTAATTGATGATTAATACAAACAGGGCGAGTCTGGAATCTTTCAAGCCCCGAAAACGTAACAAGAACTTTTAAATTATCTTTAAAATGTGGCTGGTTTCGAAGTGTTAACCGCTTTAGAAAAATCCTTGAAACATTTCATCACACAATTACACTCATTAGAGTTATTAATTTAACCTTGCACTGTAAAATCTTGAGCGACTTGATCGTAATGACGATGAAGCTAAACAGCTTCCCATGGCTATCTATCAAACGACTTGGTTGGCCCAATGAGAACTCAAATTAGCCCAACATCAACAATAGCATTAAGAAGTAAATTGAAAGACTAATGAAGATATTAAGGAGAACGCAAGTATAAAACGTTGATGAGACACATGACTTATCTTGAGATAAAACGGGAGCAAATATTGGCTGCAGAAGGCAGTACTTTAATATTTTGCATTTTTGCAGCTTGTAGGAAATAGAAAAGGTATTTTCAATGCGTGCAATCTTGCAAGCCAACTGTAAATTGATTCTGGTAAATTGTTACTATTAATGCGCATCAAGATTGCAAAATTCCTTAAATTAGCGGTCAATTTACACGTGTGTAATTAAATTGAGCACTACCACGACGATGTCGATGGGCAATTATGTGCAACAATGAAATTGCATTAACCCAAATTGTGGAGGAATGCACATTATTCCCGTACAACCGTTTATTGGAAAGTACTTCATATATTTTATTTAACAAAAAGGTAAATAAAACAAACATGTCGGGAATTTTAGATTGGTACTGACACCATGGTCCTGTTTCGGTTTTTTAAGTAGAATGTGCCAATTAATTCAATATAGTATGAAATAGATTTTAGTATACTTTTCTTCATTTTATTACTTGGAGCCTATTTGTACAGTCTGAGTTAACGAGTTATAACTCATCGGCTAATGAGTTATAATTCATTTGTTAAAGCTTTACGAGAGCCGAGTAACGTTTTACTACTTTGTTTAACCAACTTAAAAAAAAAGTAGTCTAGATTTTTCAGCAACAGAATTGAGTCCAAAGAAAGTCGACGAGTTTTCTTGTAAAATCGATCTCTTAATTTTTTGCATAGAAAATTCAGTTTGCCAGTATTTTACAGTAAAACGTTAGGAAAAACGCGAAATATGAACCTAAAAGTGAAGAAACTCCAGTTTTCCAGAGTTTTCCAAATAAATGATTATAAACTTTCGCTTTTTCAGTTCGGGGAAATATTTTTGAAAAAAGACCTAGAAATAATTATTAGAGTTTTGTCCATAATTCGAGGTTGAAAAAAGTTCCAACATTCCAAGTTCCAAACATTATTGCAAAGCGGTTAAGGAGGCGAGTGTTCCAATAAAATCTATCTAATAATTTTTGACAGAAAATACCTGAATATTGCCAGTATTTTAAGTAAAACTAAAAAATAATGCGAGTTTTGCGTAGAAATAATTGCTTAATAGAAACTTTGTTAAAACTGGAATGACCTGAAAATTTAAAGGATTTAACTTTTATTTTTTATATTTAACTTTAATTTAACTTTAGAATTCTTCTGAGCGATGAGGGCGGCGAATTTTCCCAATATTTTTTTGCAAACTTAGATAGTCCTAATAACTTTAGGTAAAAAACTGAATGAAATGAATTGGTTTTTGTGCCAAATTCGAAGCAGAAGAGGGTTTGCTAAAGTTCCCTGCACACTGATGAATGGGGCGAATTTTCTAGCAAAATTAATTTTATAATTCTTGACTCAAAACACCCTATTATTGTCAAAAAAGAAGCAAATCATCAGAAAATAATGCTTTTTTGCGTTTTCGATTAAAAATTTTTAGTTTTGTGATCGATTTTGTAGAAAACGCTAATGGTTTTCGGGAAAAAAACGGTAGGAATTTATTTACGTTTTTGTGCAGAATTCGAGACTGGAAAAAGTTTTTGTAATTTTTTACAAACCTATAAATTTATCTTCTAATTTATCGCGCAAATGTCCTCCCGATCGTCAGTATTTTTAAGTGAAACTCTACAAAATAGATCGTTTATGAGTAGAGAGCAAGGCAAAGAAAATTCAGTTAAAACTAAAAAACCACATTTTTTAACAAATTCTACAGTCTTTCGATTGGAGGTGACGAGATTTCCAAATAATCTGTTATAAACTTTCGCTTATTCTGTTCGTTTTTCGATAGAAAATTGTTTGATTTTTGTTCCAAATTCGAAGCTGGAAAGGGATTTCAAAACTTTTTACAAAGCGACGAGGGATTCGAAATTTATTTTATAATTTTTCGCGGAAAATACCTTTAGATTGTCAGCATTTTTAAGTAAAACTTTAGAAAAATTGAGCATTTAGAAGCAAGAGTAACTTGGCTAAAATGAAAAAATTCTGAAATTTGTGGACATTTCAAAAATATTATTAATAAATTGCCTTTAAAATAAATCAAAAAAAACTTTCTTAATATCAATCTGAAAAAAATATGCATAGTGAATAAGTAGAAACCAGAAAACGATGTTTAGAAAAGGAATGGAATGTTTCTGTAACCAATCAGTATATCGAAAATTCCTGAATTTTTCCCAACTGAATCGAATTCCTCCCATTCCTAAAACCAAAGCGATCATCTCTCCGATATGATCCCTTAAATATTCAATAGGCAAGTTCTCGGATTGCATAAATAAGTTACCGCCGCCGACCCGTTAATAATAAACTCTCGATGGAAATTTATATACAATGCCTGCCTAATGCATAAGCACAGTAATGCCTGCTTACCATTTAGCAATATAGAGAATTTATGGTCGTATAGATTATTCAAATTTATTATAATAAATTTAATAGGATTATTTGATTTCTATTGTTACACGTGCGCTATGACATTTTTCATCTGGGCGTGTTTGCTTTTTTTCGTCGTTTTTTCTCCTCTTCTTCTTTGATATGGCACATTCATTGTGATTTCGTATAATGAACCCATCCAGTTGGCGGCGGAAATAAAACAATAGAAAAATTGTCATTATGACGAATGTGGTGATGGTGGTGGCCCACATTGTTTTGGCCCACCTTTCAGTACATTCAGTTTTTTTTTTCAGTTAGTGGATTTATAAGGATTTTTGTTAAGGCAGCAAAGAAAGCAAAGAACTGTACATTTCAGCGTGTATTTACCGTTACCTTCCATATACCACATGCTGTAGGAGGCTTGGATGGATGTTTTTTCCAAAGGAAAACATGCGCTAAGTTTTGATAACCGATTTCGTGTTTGTGTTTTTGCAATCTGAATAATCTCCTCGAAATTTTCAAGCTTTCTACTTCGTATTTAGCTATTCAGGTTACCAACTGTACGATTTATATTCTTTTTGAATATTATCTTATATTAAAGATTGTTGTCAGGACTATTGTTTAGTACACGCGTTTAGGTTGAACCATTTACTATGGAATGATTACTAATAATTGATGTTTGTTTCAAGAGATTCAGCAAGAACCAACCAGCCAATGAATGGGACAAAGTCGGAACATTCAGTTTAAGGTAGGAATTTTCACGATCATAAGTCTGAATACGTTTAAGTTAATCGCATTTTTCGGAGCCAATGAAAACGTGGTCTGGGAGCTAATTTTTTTAATGAAAATTATGAGATATTCTTTGATTATTTCCAACACAGTTGAATTAGAGTTTTAACGTTTTTCACTCATAACGACCTTTTTTATCTGAAATTGTAAAAATATTTGTGATTGTCCAATTTTTGCGGAATTTCACTGAAATGAACACCAAAAAATGCTTCAAAAATAATACCATTTTCAACAGTTATCGACAGAGCAAGATTTAAATCCAAATTTAGTAATAGAATCAGTGATTAGAATAATTTTTTCTCGCAAATCCAGTATTTCAGTCAATATTTGTGAATTTTAAACCGAAAAAGTCAATAAACGAAACGAAGGAAAAAGGACCGTGATAGAAAATATTTTTATATTAAAGAATATGGTGGAAAAAGGCCCAATATTTCCTCAATCGGTAATCCGATTTGAACAATTTTTCGTCCAATCATAGTTCTATTCTTACACTTCTACTCTTAGACCCTCAAAAATGACAAAATGCGTTTTGCTAGAAAATTCGCCTTACTCATCGGTTTGCAGGGAACTTTAGAAAACCCTTTTCAGCTTCGAATCTGGCAGAAAAACCTTTTAAAAAAGAACAATTTTATTCAGTTTTTTACAGAAAGTAATTAGGACTATCTTACAAAAACGACCAGAGAGGCAAAAGTTTACAACCGATTATTGGGAAAATTGGGTACCCTAAATTTTCAGGTCATTTCAGTTTTAACAAAGTTTCTATTAAGCAATTCTTAATAAAATACTTGCAATCTTCTGGTATTTTCTGTGCAAAATTACAAGATAAATTTTACTCGCCTCCTTAACCGCTTTGCAAACATTTGCAACAATTTTTCCAGCTTCGAAGTATGCACAAAGCACTAATAATTGATTCTAGGTCTGTTCCCAAAAATATATTCCCGAACTGAAAAAGCGAAAGTTTAGAATCATTTATTTGGGAAACTCACTTTTAGGGCCATATTTCTAAACGCACTGTCTCTAAACAGAAAAACCGCGTTTTTCCTAACGTTTTCCTGTAAAATATTGGCAAACTGAATCTTTTATGCAAAAAAATGGTTAGATCGATTTTACAAGAAAACTCGACTTCTTCGAAGACGAACTTCTTTAGATATGAAAATTTCAGTCGTAAAGCTTTAACAAATGAATTATAACTCATTATCAATCAATTGAATCAGTGTTATTCTGCATTTTCAAATTCAGCATTTTACCTTCTGGGGATCATGTTCTTCTGACCAAACCTTTACTCTCAACCTTCTAAAATAATAACCCTTATAAAATAATAAGTATCAAGCATAGTGAACAATAAGCATTACATCTTAGTGAAAACGGATCAGCATTATCCATAGCAGTAACAGACAATTTCAAGCCATCAACACTCCTCCTGTTGTTGCATCTTCTTTATTTGACTACGGCCTGGTGAATCGTTTTATCAGCCCGTTCGCCAACCAACTAAAAACGAAAAAAAAAGAAGAAAAACAAACCCCCTTGTCCATTTCACAGCCATGGTAGTGACTTTAAATTTATGTTTAATTAGTGATGGTACACGTGTAAGCCGACGTTGGATCGAATATTTATATGTAATTGTGACCGTTTATGCAATAAATTATGGTGTTAAATGGGTTGATGGGTTATTGATGAGATCTTTAACGCTCCACGCACCATACAACCTCGACGGAGCGGTCTTCGTTTGCAGTTTTGCATTTTAAGGCCCTTTGTATGGTTTCAGTCACTATGACGAAAGAGCTAAAAACTCATTAGGTCGATCCATCCGGGTACGGACGTGCAAAAGCAAAGGTCATTTTGGTCGAAAAATTCATTATGAAGATGTTGAATAGCAGTTTAGGAGGAGCAACAGCTCGGCTGTTATCGTTATGGGTTTGAGTAATAGAAGTGTTAATTTCATTTTTTTCGGTTGTTGGTTGTTTTGCCAATGTTTGCACTGCAAGTGATTTGTTATTTTTGTTTCTTTTTCTCTTTGCTTGAGGTCCTGGATGCTTGCTTTATGTTTTTTTTTGGTCAAATATTTCATGGTTTACTGTAGAGCATGAAATTTGTGGATGAGCTAATCGGTTCGAAACCGGTCCTGGGGTGCCTGTATTAGCACATAGCTAAAGTGAATTGATAATTTTCGAATTCCCTATTGTAATCATGCTTGGTATCTTGAATGCATTCCCTTGCTGGGTTGAAACGGAAAAATCGGCCCTACCCTATTTAAGAGCGACAATATCCGACGCGAGTTGCAATTGTAATGCAACATTGAAAAATAGCTCTATTCCCTCTTCTATCGATATAAATAAATCATTGGCAAAAAGACGAATTGAAACAATGAATCAAACGTTCACAGGACAATACTGCATAAGGCGGAACGGAACATACATATTAAAATGAGAGTGTTAAAATCGACATCGTAAATGTCTGTCGGCACCTTTTCAAATTTACATAACGATTTCGAAAATTAATAAAAATCTTAGGACAAACCGCAGCAACAAATAGTTGCGGTTCTTAGAAAGCTGTAAAAAGTTGTGTTTAATCACTTGTGGTGTGAACATGAAGATACAGGGAAACGTAGTTCAATAAAGCACAAGATACACACATTTTATTATCTTTGTTGTACATGGTTCTCTGATGTAATTATTTGACTGATAACTTGGCCAAAATTGCCGTCAATAATAATTAAGCGTAGCTGTAAAAGGCATTTTGCTGTTGGAAACGGAACAAGGCATTAAGAGAAATAAACTTGCAATCGTCACATTAATAAGTCGGGACAATGAGGCGAGATGACCGGCCGAAATTGAGAAATACAGAGAATCATAATGCCGAAAAAGTAATAAATGGGCCCCCGAAAAAAGAATATAACAATAAACCTTGCACGGTCGCCGGGTCTTTAAACCTCTTAAAATTAGCTAATTAATTATGATAAATAGAAGCAGATGAATTCCGGACGATATTAATCAAAACAAGCACGTTTGCGGGCCTCGCATACCGTATTGTCAAAAAGTGCACCATCAAATATTTCAAATGAGAACATTCCAAGCAAAAAATCGCCTCGATATTATTTTGGAGAGAGACCCAAAGAACGATTTCTGTCAGTGGTGGCGAATGGTAGATGTTTTTCACTGTCTATCGAAATAACATGCGTTTGAGTGACTTTTTTAGGCCATACTGGACGGCACCAGGATGGGCTCGATTTATTTCCTTCTAACATGCGGCATTCCCATGTCAAAAAAATTAATTTAAAAATAAATAATGCTGAAACGTGGAAAAGATTTCCAAATTTCACAGTATAGTTTAGTACAGGTTCATTAATCAATTAAGTTTCCTCATTAAGACAATTAAATCTGGGAAATGCTCTAAAACCGCTCAAAATTGGCAATTTTTTGCAGTTATTTCGGTTTACAGGGCTCTAGTAGGTTTATTTTGCACTGGTTCCATTTATCACTCTCTTCCGATCAAAATACTGTATGATTTATGTTTATATTATTATTATTATATTTATTATTTATTTAATTTATATATACACTTTGGGCGATTTAAGTATTTTACCAAAAATATAGAGAAATACTCGATATTTTTTCAATCAAAAATTAAATGTTTACGTATTCGTTTTTTAAGTTCAATGGATAGGTGACGACCCAAGAAGCTTCTCAGAACTCATACACAGGGTGTTTGAGACCATATTAGAGCAGAGAGACGCGATTAACATCGGAACTGCTTTTTAACAGTTAAAACTAACAACCGCTCAAAATTAACCAATTTTTGCAGTTATTTCGGTTTATTGCGCTCTAGCAGATACTTTTGCGCTGATGGCATTTCTCACTTCCTTACCACGAGAATAGTGTAAGATTTATGACATTTAGGACAACATTGAGTATTTTAGAAAAAATTTGCGCTGGATGGTTGCATTTCTCACTTCTTTCCGATAAAAATATTGTAAGGTTTATGGCATTTAGGACAATTTGATGACTTTTTTATGGGTTCAGTGAACAATTTTCGACCGAAGAAGCTTCTCGATAGTCATATAAAAGGTGTTTGAGCCAATATTGGAGCAGATCGAGGCGACTAAATATTAAAAGTGCTTTTTTAATTTATTTTTCTGACTGCGTGTAATTGTTATTACATATTTTACATATTTTTTTTGAGTGAGTTTTTTTTCTTCCTGAGGTAGGTGGTTAGGGTGTCTGGGGTCGATGGATTTGTATGCGTATCGTATATTCGACGTGGTCAGGACAACATCATTTTGTGATGTTTTTTATTTCCACTCCATTTCCCATCCCCACACGCTTACAATACATTCGTTACTTTTTATTTAACAACCAAAATATTCACTAGAAATAATTTATATGACAGAACAAGGTTTGCCGGACCAGCTAGTTTCATATAAAGTTTTGGCGAGACAACAGCGCCATCATCAGCTTTAAAATTCAACACAAACCCATAATTGGGAGACATTAGATTCTGTTAGGTCTTGGCTGTCTTGAAAGGGTTTCAAGAAAATTTTTATTTCGCATGTTGACTGAAACCCAAGAAAGAGAAAAAATTGCTCAAACGCTCAAAAACGCTCAAAATGAACCAATTTTTGCAGTTATTTCGGTTCTAGCAGGTTTGCACTGGTGGCACTCACTTCCTTGCGAAGAAAATAGTGTAAGATTTATGACATTTAGGGTAATTTTTTGGTGTGTTTGAGACACCAGACAGACTTTGATACATCAAAGCGTTTGAGACGATTTTAAAGAAGATATAAATTTCTCATATAATTATTGTCTAAATTTGTCCAATTTCGTTACTTGGTGTCTGCGGAACAACGTTTTCTCTGTCCAGTGCTTCGCAAGTTCAGTTTTCCGGTTGAATTGAAATTTTTGAATGTTTCTATCGAAAAACCGAGCTAGAGCCAGTCAAAGACGTTTAATGCACCAA